TTTGTGTCTCAATCATACACACTTTAATGGCTACTTAAAAGCAAAAAGAGCTTTTAGCCAGAATACACACATAAAGTGCATTTTTTCTGGTTCTGTTCAACTCTGTGTGTGCTTTTGTGGTCATACCTTGAGACGTCTATGACAACAGGGTTTTAATGGTGGTCTGACACAGCAGAACTGGAGAGCTCAAAGACATTTACTCAAGTGTATCTGTGAGTACAGGACATCTATGTAAATGCAGACCTGTCCTGGAAGTCTGGTCGTCAGCACGGCGAGGATATCCTGGCCATGGATCACTGTCCAGGTCTGGGACTTCTGGCTACTGGGAGTTATGATGGAGAGATCATTATATGGAGCCTGGCTCTGCAGAAACCCATCACACGACTGCAGACAAACCAGCAACAGAAGTCAGTATGAAATCAGACTGCAAAAAATGGCATTTTTGCTTATTTGAAATACAAGATTTTATGTATTAAGTACACATATTAAACACTGAATTCCTTCCCAGTGCACCTAAACTATTTTTGGAAATAAGTATTCAGCAGCTTGCTAGCCAATCCTAAAATGCAGTTCATTTACAAATATAAATGTAGTAAAAACGGCGTGTTTGGTTTCAAGGGTCAGAGAGAAGGTGAAAAATGAGGCGAAACTAAATGTTTCTGGATAAATAAATATAAGTGGGAAAATAGTACAATAAAATGTAGAAAAAGTACACAAAACGGCCTCTTTATAACATCACTGCAATGTGCATAATAACCTTGCAATATATATAATGTTGTAAAATTAACGTTGCATAATTATCAGTCATGTGCTGAGACCTGAGATTCGTTCCAAGTAATGCACAGTAAGAAAAAAAGTATAAAATGCACTATAATTTGCACTATAAAAAACTATTTTTCAAAGTTGTAAATAAAACAAAGATTGTTGGAGTGTTTTAAAGGAAAAACTGTTAGTCTTTCGACTTAAAATTGTAGTTTAATTCAACGTGTTAGTTGCTGTTACTTTGTAATAATTCATACAATTTTGCAATTTATTCTTTTGCAAAGAATATTCTTTGAACACTGATTTTTTTTCATTGTAGGATCCAGATTATAAACCAACACTGCAAAAATTAAAGAAAATTGGTCTTAAAATCAAATATTGCATTTTATTATTATTATCATCATAAAATTCATGCCTAACAATTTGCAAAATTATTAACATAGCAGTGTCTGCATAGGTAAACTGACTATTTTGATTTCTATATGTCTCCTGAATTTCAAGGAGTCTGTAATCTCGGAAGTTACTAATTTCACACAACGAGATTAATTTCGTTATCCTAACAAAACATGCTTGTTTGGTTACTTGCTTTGGTTTTATTATTTGCATTTAACAGTCCTGCAACCAGTGTTGGGGAAAGATACTTTTAAAAGTAATGCATTACAATATTGCGTTACTCCATAAAAAAGTAACTAATTATGTTACTTAGTTACTTTTTATGGAAAGTAATGCGTCACGTTACTTTTTAAATCTGGACAGGGCTTGCTTGTTTGTTTTTAAAATAAAAAAGTTATATTTTTGGCAAATATAAAAGCCTTTCACACCAAACGTGAAATGAATAAGCCTCAGGCTGAAGGGAAAGTAAATTTACGTCCGTACAGTAGAATGCAGAAGAAGACATTTCACACTTCAGCAATAAACAAAGACACAAATGTTTCTCTAGAGTAATTTGTGATTATTAGTACGGTTGAACTGGATCATCGAAGGTCAGAAGCAAAGACATTGGTTAATAGAATGGGATTAAATACATAAAGCATATTTGTAGGGCTGCACGATAAATCGCATGCGATATTTAACGCGCATCTTGTCAGTAAAGCCATTC